TTTTTTTCTACTTTTGAGATTGATATGGATATCTGGAATAAAAACTTGTTCACAAAAAAGAGAACTCCAAGTCTACTTCTTTATGTTGCCAGTACAATAGTGTAATATTGTGTTTACATGTGTTCCTGAAATATAATAGAATACATCTGACAATATGACAGTCTAACTATTCCATTCATTTAATAGTTAAATAGTTACAATTAACCATACTGATGTAAGAGTAAGTATGACATTTGTTGTGTCCATGGTTTTCAGTTGTTTTGAATGACCTGATGGTAATCTGCATGTTGCAACTGTAGCCCAATAAGTGGAAGTGCTCACCTTATTTTATCTTTGTTAAAAAATAATCCAACTAAAATTCATGTGTTTGCTGATTTTCTGCAATTTTTGTAGGTTTAACTTGTTGGGGTCAATGTTATTCCAAACAAAACATGATTGTATTTAAAATAATTGATGAAATAATTGTATTATTATTATTTATTTTATGATATATAATTCTTGACTGCTTCAAAGTTTGTAAATGTAAATGGCGCCCTTGTCCGCCATCTTGTCTGCAGCTGGGTACTCTTGGGGGTTCTTTTGGTTTTTCTACAGACATTTCCACACACCCATACACGCAGCTTTCACATTCACATTTATTAAGTAATTTATCTTTATTTTGTAAATAAATAAGCTTTTAACTTGTCTAGTCTCCTGTCATTGTTGCAGCCTAAGAGCCAGGTTTTAACAAAATCTTACCAATATTTCTTCACAAGCCTCGTCTCACTGAGTTTTATCATTAAAATTAACCGGTGTGTGATTAAACACATTTTTTCCCCAGACCTATCTTCACAGCCTTCCAATATGTGAGTAACAAGTATTGCATGATGTGAGGATGTTTCTTGCATTGCAACAGGGTAATCTATTCCCATCAAAGCTATCAAGAAACACGACTTCCATGCAAGTGTTGCTAAAATGGTAGCATCATTCAGCATGTGGCCAAAACAGAGCCACTGAACATGATAAAAAAGTAACAGTAAGAGACTGGAAGGCAGAGGACCTCATCTAGAGAGCACAAAGAGGAGTACCTGAACATGACACATCACCACAGTTAACAGGGTGCAATTTAGGGTTCAGTCCTGCCCGAGGCTACTTAGATACCGCCAATCTTACGACTAGTGGACGAGCCACCCCACCTCCTGGGCTGCTGGATTTATTCAGCAGTCTGAATAAGACAAACCAACTGGAGATCTCCAAAGTTTGTGTTTTTAGTACAAAATCCTTAATTTAGTTCAATTCATATAACAACAAGAGGGTTTTATTTTGAAAAGATATTCCTTGGTTATCAGAAGGCTGAAGTATTAACTGCTCAGCATGTTACTTTGTCTTTACATTTGCTGGGTTTAGTTAGAATGGATTTACTTTAAAGGGACATTTCACTGATTTTTAACCAGCTTTGTATCATAATGTGGGTGGTATGTGTAAATGAGCTGTGGTAAACATCCCTCCATCTTACCAGCGTCCAGATCTTCTTGCTCATGTCTCTAGGGCTGTTGCCATGGATAGATAAGGTGTCTCAGGTGTTTCTGCCTCTTGAGCAAAAGCAAATGCCGCATTCATTTTCCTGTTTTCTCTGGTCACACCCCCAATTCCAAAAGCCTATATAAAAAGACCATCCTTCCAGCAGTGAACTACCTGAAGTCAGAACTTTGGGTTGTTAATGAACCTAGTTAAAATGTTATGGCTACATGTGCATGTAGCTACAAGACAAGGGATGAAGATTATTTGGATAGCCCAATGTCACACATTGTGTAAAGGAGCACAACAGCAAGCGTTCCCAACCTGGCTCATCTCAAAACACCTGGAATGCTAAATGTGTCCTCCCAAAAAAAGACACAATATTGATTTTGTTAAGTTTTTATTTGTGGATCAAAGCCTGGACAAAATTAGGCTACTCCAAAAAAGTACAAAAGCAAATGCCCATTCAATGTTAACGTGTCACAATACAAATCAAAATAAGCTTCTCGTGTGTCTGTTCTGCAAATCACTTACAAGATCTGAGAGTTATCTGAGCAACCACATCTACCAACATTTTTATGCTGCCTGTCTCTGCCCTGGAAAGGATTTCCAAACATTCTAGTCTCTGTTAAATAAATACCACCACCTCTCTTAAATGGTGGGACGTTAGGAAAATAATTTGTCATTTAAATAATTCATGGCATTCATGTCTGGTGTCCCATAACTTTTACAGAGTTTAAACTAGATAACAAACCTTCCACATTTGACACGTTGCCTTGGTCGTCTCAAGGATCAAAGGGATTTCATACATTCACAGGCAGGCATGTTTTAAAATGTTTGGTGGAGGAACAAAAATCATTCATTCAGTATCTTGTAGACTAGCTGCATGACGTCCGTGAGTAAACAACCTGTTGAATGCAAGTTGATAAAAATGTCTATGTTCCATTTATCTAAAGGCTTACACACTGCCAGATATATAGAAATATAAATGTATGTTTTAAGTATATACAATAGTTTTATCATGGACAGATTAAGAGACAACATTCCCCTGGACAGACATATTGAAGGCCCCAAACCCCTACTACAAAAAGGCAAACCACCAAGATTTAAAAGAGACAACATGGCCGAATCTTTGTGGTCCTTTTCTGTCTGTCATCTCTTTTAAGAAATTTTATGTCTCTTTGCAGTTGTTTTGTGTCCCTTTACATCTCTTTGCTCTGCCCCTCGGGCCCCTTGGCCTGTGCCCAGTGGGCCAGTTAAGCCATACATCTATAAGTTTTATCTTTTCACAAAGTAGTGCCTCAAAAGACACTGCAAGCATCATTTTAAACACAGCTTCAAGTCTGTGTTGAACAACAGTGAATCCTGCCCTTAGAGGCCTGGGAAGAAGTAGAAGCGTTTTATCAGAGTGCATCTGTCTTTGGTCGGCATCTGTCTTTTAGTTTGAGGGGAGAACTTTTCAAAGCGTTGCATGACCTGTGTGGATGAAACAAACAGTGTGTGAAATTAAGCAAGGCTAAGACTTAAACCCAGTTCAGACCAAAGACTTTCAACAAGACGTGTTAAAAACTTGCAGCTACTTGCAGCGGTCTGCAATGCAAGTTTAGACCAACTCCACCAGACGAGACGGTGTACTGTCTCCACAGCAATAACTGCATGTGCTTCTGTTCTAACTTCAGGCTTTTCAATTTTGTTTTTTTATTTGTTTATTTGCTAAGATATTAATGAGAGTAGTGACAGTGAGATATTTGCTACAGTTGCATTTTTAGTAATGGAACAGGAAAACATTACCGACCTGAGATTCAGCTAGACTGCACTCACTGTGGCCTTAATACGCCACAATGACCTAAATAACCAGCTCTGATTATTTAGTCAAAAAGTATGTATGTGTGTGACATGTACAAATACAGGGAGCAGCAGCAACCCACTGTCCAACACTGGCACACTGTGAGGATGCAGACCGACAGCTATGCTAACAGCCCCAGGGATGTAAATGAGAGGGACTCTGGATCAGCAGGGATGGAGAGCTGCTGCCACAGTAAGCGAGCACGCCGTCTGCCAAGTCAGAGTCAAACTGAGACCAGCCAGTTCACATCACTGCAACTTTCCTTTGCAATGTGCGAAAACAGTTTTGTCTTGTCGTGAATCTTTGGTCTGAACTGGGCTTAATGAAACAAGAACAACATCATCACTACTCAAAACTAGTAATACTTTTCACTTACTATTCTGAAGAGTTCCTCAATGTCATCCTTATGCGCGAAGGTGTTAAATACCTCAACAATATACTGGATGAGAAAAGACCCCAGATCTATTTGTCTATATGAGACAGTATCTGGAGGAAAAACATACCCAAACAGAAAATATATTTGTTGTTACATAAACATCCTTTGCTATTTTTCATGGAGATTATTAATCTTCATTGTGTTGTGAGGTGCAGAATAAGATATCACAATATTTGAGTTAACTGACCAGGAGTGCAGGAAAGAAGAGCAGTAAAGTCTTTTTCTTTGTGTACACATTTCAAAGAATCAGCCTCTAAGTTGTCTTCATCAGCAGGCGGGGGCACATTTGACTGTGACGCATCATCACTGACCACATCTCTAACAAATGCTGATCCTTCCTCCTCTGAAACACATGAAGCATACTTTAAAACAGTGTACGAGACCTTGCTCACATAAAGACAAACAAGACTTCAGCAGACTCCTAAAATAATGTCTATAGATGTTTGTAATAGTTTGGGGTCACCTCCTCTGCACGCCTGGATGATGATGATCTTGGGTTTGTCCAGCAGCGCTGGACATTTCTCTGAGCCCAAGTGTTTGTAAATGTTGTCGATGAGGAACTCATCTGGTTTCTCATCACCCTTTTTCCAGTCGACACCAAGGACTTTTCCCAGTTTCCCATGAGACATGATGACCACTATCACACTATCTGTCTCTTTGAGTTTCGGATGTTTAGAGAACTTAAGTATAGCATCATCAATCGCCTGTGAGAACACAAAAAGTCAGACACCCGTTACTATACCGCAAAATCAACCAGAGGAAAAAAAAAAAAGGCTACATATATAATTTTATGCGGTACCTTTCCTGTGAGGTTTGTGTATTTCACCACCTCATATTTCAAAGCCGTGAGCAGTTTCTCAATGTTCTCCTCGTCCTTGTCAGCTCCATTTCTGTTCATCTTCTCATCAGTAAACTTTATATTAGTGATCAGCAGGGCCACACGGTTCTTAATGGATTTTTTGTCCACAGGGTAAACCTGAGAAACAAATTTAAAGGAAGCAAGTATTACAAAAACACACCATGTGTCTGACAATATATTGTAGACTTTAATGTTTCTCCACTTGTCTATCCAAGAGAGGTTAAATCCATCATTTAAAGCAATACTTCACCCACAAAATGACCATTTGTAAATTAGTTGTGCCATGTTACTGTTGAATTTGCAAAGAAAACTTTTTTCTTTGCATACCTTCACGGAAAACAGCAAACATATTGATTTATTTATTGACTGGGGACCACTTTTATCAGCTATATCAAAGCATCCATTTATCTGGTTGTGTAAAGTGTCCTTGGGTGACTTATTATTATAATTATTATAAATATGCACATATTTGGGAAGTATTGAGCATATGACTAGATAAAAAAGACTTGGATTACTCAGCATAAGTTGTGTGAGAATTTGTAACCAAATGTATTTTTAATAGTTTTGATGCTGTTAAACATGGTGCCCAATCAGTTCATAAATATGCTGGCTGTTTTCAATGAAGGCATGCTAGGCTAAGTTTTCTTCACAAAGTCAAGGTAACAGGGCATGATTAATTAATATACAAATGGTAATTTTGTGGGTTAAGTATTCCTTTGAGGCCATGTGAGATATTTGATGTGATTTTTATGAATGACTGACAATGTTATCTTTCACTTTGTCCATCCAGAATGACTCAGTGGCAGGGTTGAGGGTGATCGACCATTCCTGCTCACTCGGTCGCACTGCAGCTGGGGATAGCAAAACATTTCTGTTCAAAACAATGTACTTCTTTTGTGATTGTGACTGTGTTAAAGTATAATACAAGTCTGAATCAAAATAGGTTGAAATATTTCAGCTCACCGGGCTGAGCAGGTTGAACACAGGACAGACCCAGCTCAGAGTACAGTGTTGAATCTCTGCTGTGAATGTGAGCAATCAGCTTCCTGCTGGCTTCGTCTCCTTTCTTCTTCACTGTGTCGAT